AAGCCGAAATGCACGACTTACACAGTTATTTTGTATTTAGTTCTGACATATTATTTTTTTAATCTTTATAATTAATCATACTTTTAAAATATCATAAATATTTATTTTTAAGACCCATTTTAGGAAATTTATACTACAAATTCATTTTTTTAGAGGAATTGTTACTCTTGAGAAACCCACGCAGGAAGGCTATAAAGTGATAATGATAAGGCCTGTAGACACAGAGCCCAGTAAATTCAGCCACGTCGATCTGAAGAAAGTGTTTGGAATGGTGATTGACCTGTGGCTTTATTCTGAAGGCACGGCTGAAGGTCACGTGATCATTTTTGATATGCAAGGTGTCACTTTTGGACACTTCACAAAATTGAGTCTGATTGTATTCAAGAAATTTTTCTTCTATTTGCAGGTATGTTCATAGAATATCTTGAAAAATGTATTATTATTATTTATTATTATTATTATTATTATTATTGGAATTATACTGTAAATGTTTAGCAATAAAAAAGGTCTGCATATATGGCTGATGAGATTTAGGTACTATATTTACTCCGTTTCACTTGCTTTACCGAAAATAAAATTTCCAATATGAATGTGCTATTGCTATTGCTATTGCAATTCATTGTTACATTTTTGAATTATTTGATGTGTCATATTAAATATTCTACATAGATTACATTGTCTATACAGTCTACGTCATAAAAAGGTATCTAGACTACACGTTGAAAACGCGTAGACGTAAAATTATAGTTTATGGCACAACTCATCGAGTATGTAAAACATATCGCCATGTAACTTGTCCCTATTAATGTTTGGATTTCATTCGCTCACCTCAAACTGTATAAATATCCCTACACGATGTATTCTTAGTAAGAATTCAAGAGCAAATAAATGCTTACGTAATTATGTACTGGGTTGCTCCCTCTGTATTTCCTTCTCTCTGAAACGCAATGTAGTCCAATGTTGTGATGGTAGAAAAGGGTATCATAGTGTAATTGGTTCAATCGCAAAAGGTTTATTGTAATACAAGCTCAAGCTTTATTTATTTTTCATCCCAATAGGAAGGGCTTCCCGTTCGTCTGAAAGGACTTCATTTTTTCAATGTCGTCCCCTTCATGGACAAAATGATGGCTATGATGAAACCTTTCATGAAAAAGGAACTTTTCGAAGTGGTATGTACTAAGCAAATGAGGTGAATTAAAACTCAGCGTGTTTCTCTAATAATAAACATACACACGGTTTAAAAATTAAGGAAGTAAAAAATTAGAACCAATTTATTTTTTCCTGGCATTCAGAAACTTCAGACGGGAGAAACAACGTCAACTGAAATTGAATGATTATTCGGGCTTTTACGTTGTTAACATACACATCAAAGCTGTTTGCCTAATTTATTCTAAAATTATTGACAATCAGTTTTTTGGTCGGTAACGTATACCCACATTATTTGTTCTGAATAATCATGTGAATAGTTGACGCATATATAATACTTATTCATTTCTGATCTTCCATTAGTGACCCAAAGCGAGTGACAAGTTGCATTACATGTTTGGTACCACAATGTTTGTTGCTGAGCACAGGTTAGTTATTTACAAGATTTCAAAAAAAATATTTCCGTCGGTATATTTAAAGATCACGTAAGTTGTGATCATATGTGTGTACCGCATATGAAGTCAGTATTATTAATCATTCGAAGTCATAGAAAGTAGTTCGTATGTTTGTCAATTTCTTACGTGTTCTGTATAATACGAGTATTATACTCTTAATCTATTTATTTTCATGAATGTAAGTTTACAAATAAAGAGAAAAAGTATTGGAATCAAAATATTAATTGAAAAGAACGCGGAATGGGTAATGTACTCTTGTACCAATTAGATCCAGTAGCAAAAAATATTAAACGAGTACACAACTTCAACAGGACTTTACTGGTAACGATTTAAAAGTACTAATAGAAAATTTAAAAAAAATAATAGTACATTCGAGACGTTGTGTGCTAACTGCTGTAATTAATTAGATTTTTTAATTATCCCTACTTGTTGCTTTCCAAAATCATAAAATCAGGCACCTCAATACTACATTTATGTACACTACACATTTTTAGATCACCAGTACACATTACAGTGCACTGATACAAAACGAACAATTCCTTTCAGATGCACGTGCACACGGAAGGAGTGGAAGACCTCTTCAAATTCGTCCCGCAAGAAATTCTCCCAATGGACTACGGCGGGGCAGCGCCGCCCTTACTGAAGCTGCACGGTAATTATTAGACTACGGATTAGAAGTAGTATTGAAGGTTGCAGGTCCGATCAAGGGAAGGCGTCGGAAATTTATTTGAAGTGTTTAATATCGGATAGTTAGTGGCGCTTCAAGAAAGGAATCCGGAGGCCGACTTCTCTGACCAGTGGTTTCTGTAGTTTTCCAAATCACTTCCTAGCGAATGCTGGAGTAGTTTCTTAGAATCAGGGCCTCGGACTGCGCGCTGGGGATAGTGCACGGTTCTTCCTTCCGTATCCGTCCAAGTTAAGGGTCTCCGACAGCCCGGCGCGGGAGATCCGCAGCGGGTGCGGCGCGGACAGTTCCGCGCTGGACGCGGTGGCGGAATCCGCGGGACCGATCACGCCGGAGCGTCAATTATCACTCAGCGTTTGGCGACAGTTGTCCTCCTCCGATAAACAAAAGCAAGGGGGCTCAATTTAAAGAGGAGTGAAGACTCTCGAACGCGGGCGGACTTCCACGACACTCGAGCGGCGGCAGAAACGTGTTTTATTTACTTGTTAACACGACGGTGTGACTGGTTTTGTTAATGAATTAACTTCGATCTTATTTCTGAAAAATGACATTTTAAAAACATTGTCCCAGTAGCTCCGAAACTACCCAAGTATAAATTTTCATTTTTTTGTGAAGGACAATTATGTAATTATTAATATATAGTAGCAAATTGAATACAATACTTTTCATAATAAAGAATTTCTGTACAACAGTACATAAGAGCGTTTTGACTTTTATTTCTAATACACTGTAAATTACAAAAGATGTAAATTTGCTTGTCTATATACACAGAGTGTCCAGAAGCTCCAGAAACAAAAAAGTATCTCATACTCTGTGTTGACATGCATGAACAATGGCAGGTCAAGTGTTTTGGAAAAACATTGTCTTCGTTGAAATTGACTTTCAAAGATGCTTTCGGGCATGAAATTCAAACCTGCTGCCGCGAAACAGAAGACACCTGCGCGGCGTCTGGCAGTGGGCCTGAGCCTAGCATCGTTTCTGCGCTAGTTCGGTGAAACTGTAGAGTGAGGTAAATTCCTTTCCGTGCACTGGGGTATTTTAACAGCACCAAATGTTCTATATGTACTGTTCACTTAATTTATTAAATCTACTAAAATTCATTTTTGCTGCTTGATATAACCACGGTTTTCAGCGGCGTAACAATGAACGCTGAATACAAACCAAGCCTTATGGAGATTTTAAAAAATCCTAGAAGTCTCGAGTTGTTTTTTCAGTAACTTCAGTGTGATCTAATGTATTTTCCTTTAGAGAGTCACATAGGGTAAATGATAGTCCCCTGCAGCTTTGTTTCCTTAACATCCTGACATAATTTATGTTAAAAGTGTTTTGCAGCTAAAATATGGGTTCATAAAAATTGTTTACGAGCTGCAATATTGGCACAACTCGAAAAATGAATTTTCGAAATAACCGTTTTCAATTTTTAAGTGGTGGTTGTATTATAGATACCACCCGCTTAATAACTAGTGCATTAAGGGGTAAGCATGATTAAAAAACTTCGTGAGAGTTCCGTTAATAATGTAAAACATTTTAAAGTGAGTGTCATAACATAAAATTCGTATTTTTACTTTCTTTCTACGGAGTAAAGAGAAATTTATATATTTCTTCGCGAATAAACGGACATACTTGGAACATTTTCGAAATTTTCAAACAAGTAGCTCCATCGTTTTTCATTACATTTTGTTGATAGTGTGAAGGACGTTGGAAGGATAATGTTGCAAGTCTCATAGTAGTTAAGAACTCTGAGTTTTCGAAAATCGCAAAAGTTTAATTTTTTTCCGGAGTCTTCCCAGATCTAAATTATTAGAGATAGAGATTTTTTATCTAAATTAAATGTGGTCCTTAAAAATAGAATTTAAAGTAAAGTCATGTACAATTGTTTGAAAAGTTGAGTACTTTTCGCGTAGTTTTGCGTAAAAATACGGGCGAGAAAGTATGGACAGTTTATCACCATTAGTTGGATTTGTGCCAGTGTTGCAGCTAACGAAATAAATATCGAGTTTATTGATTATTTCTGTACTTGATGTTCGAACTGATGATTCGAAAAGTTTCATTTTTGGAAGTTCTAGCTTACGATAGCCTGCTTTAATGACCCGATTACTGATTATTCACGAATTAACATATAGGTTTTCTCCGCATCAGATGTTATTGCTTCCCATAACGTGTACCTGAAATAAAAATATTTTGGAAAACAGTGGGTATTTAATGCGTTTCCTTAAATCAACATTGCATATTACGTTATTATTGCTTAGGGCTAATCCTGTGACCTGATATGACGTACTTTATGCATCCACTAGGAATGTATTTTGATAGGGGATGTTTTTGCAAAACACGATACACGATTCTCTGTGGAGCATCCAGCTCGCGACACTGACCTCCAGTACCTTGCGCAGTGTTCTCGCCAATGAATGGGCATCTGGCCTTCGTTTTCCTGTTCCGTAGCCGAGGTAATCGCATGCCACTCCCCTAAAGCCCTGAGAGAATTCGAGAAAATGATTTCTGAAATTAATTGGAAGAAGGTTGGGAAAATGTTTGTTTGTCTGCCTGTTTCACTTACGTTTTACAAAACGTTTAAGAACATTAAATGAATGTTTTTTTCTTTTTCAATTGATCAGTGTGCGGCATCGGAATGTTCAAATGTCTTCCTCACGATAGAATCCTCTATGCGACGAAGCAACAGACTATTGTGTATGAAGCATAAGTTTATTTACGTCTTTATACTCTTTTACACAAACACCGTACTAGAAAACTAGTTTGTTAATCGTCATATGGGGCATGCCATTTTCTCACTGTTAATCATGGACACCATGTAGGAGTGATGCGCAACTGACTGTACACACAGATGCGATCTGCAACTATTTATCAATACAATTGTCGGCTTGCGGTAACACAAAATGAAACTAGCAAAATTTTTTTCTAAAGTTAGCAGCTGGTAGGTGTTTGCAAAGTCGCGGCAACTGGTTTGAATTTTGCGCCAGAAATCATTTTTAACTCAATTTCATCGAAGATTTGTTTTCGAAAAAAACTGGACCTTTAATTCTTGATGATTGTCAACACAAAATCTGGAGATTTTTTTTGTAATGGAGGTATCTGTATAAAAATCTTTATAAAAAATGAATGTTGTTATATACGAGAACAGTGAACTCCCACAACGTGTTGACAATCTCCATGAAAGTTGGCACATCTATTTTTTTAACCCCGAAGGTTTATATGTTGTTAGTTTTGCTGTAACGCCACTAGATGGCGCTGCATCACAAGATTGCACTTCATATTAATTCAATTTCCATTCAAACTGAGCTCCACTTGGGCTTCATTATTATAGCTGAGCGTTGCCGTGTGACAATGGGTAGGCCGAAGTCAGGACAGCGGCGCGCGCAAGAGAGTGAGAGACAGAGAGAGAGAGAGAGAGAGAGAGGAGACGGACAGAGAGAGATGGATAGAGAGAGAGAGAATGACAGACAAGAATTAGACAGAGAGACAAAAACAGAAAGAGGTAGAGAAGCAAGAGATGCGGAGAGACAACAGGGAAACACCAAAGGACAGAAGGCGAGACAGTGATAGAGATAGACAGACAGAGGAGAGAGGGAGAGAGACTAAGTCAGAGAGAGAGAGAGAGAGAGAGTGAGTGAGACGGGAAGGGAAGGAGGAAGAGGTAAATGGAGGGCAGGAAAACATCTGCCGGGTTCCGCTAGAATTAACTTAACACATTTACACCAATATTTTACAGCACTAGATTAAATAGTTTGGAGATAATTGTTCAAATGTAAAGCCGAATTAAAATGGGAGAGGTAGGATTTTATGTCTCTTCTTGACCGCTGACCTTTTCCTTGAAGATAAGTTATGCAATTGCGATGATTGCATTCAAGAATCGAACTATTGTAGAACGCGTTGCTTCATTCTTAACTACCCAGCTTATCAGTCCTGAAGATTGCGCTTTGCGAGATGTTTAAATGTCATGTCTCTCATACATCTTTTATACTGCATTGTCTCCATGGTTAGAACATAAATCAGAAATGTTTTCTTTCTGAGAAACGAGCAACGTGCCTTGCGTCACCCGTGACTTAGCTCTCTGTCCTGGTTAGTAAAGTATTATCGCGTATTTTTGCACCGACGTAACCGACGGACGGATCGCTCGACTCCGCTGCGTGGGTTGTGGTTCGATTGAATTCCCAATCGCCTTCGAACCACCGAATGCCAGTGGTCTCACGTTATCATATATTGCATGAGGTATCCTGTTTTGGGAAATTGTAAGCGTGTTCCAGGCGGCGAAGAAGACTGACGCGCACCACAGTGATAAAACGTTTGAAGTACACTACCTAACTTTGCCTACTCAGCGCTACGAAAGAGAGATGACTTTCTTCCCCGTATGAAGGCTCCCACAGACCGGCGCGAAATATCCGCAGCCTACGCAAATTATCCGCAGCGGAAATTTCGCGTCGCGTGTTGCCGAAGAGCGCGTTCAGACCTCCGCGGCAGGCGAACGTCGCGGCAGCGTTTTCTTACCTGCGGATTTTGTGACGCAGTCGGACGCGTTTCGACCGACGCCGCTGGAGTTTCGTGGAAGTCCGCCCGCCTTTGGGGGTCTTCGCTCCCCTCTACATCGAGTCTCCCTTGCCTTTGTATCTCAAAAACGTGAGAACGCTGCGCCGCTCAGTCGCCTACGCCGCCAACTTTGAACCCAAATCCTCCCTTATTGAATTGTCAATTGCCTTGTCCATGTCCTAAGTTTGGTTTGCCATATTAAGTGTGACAGAGTATGTCTGCGACAGGTGACGCCTACTTCACAACCCAAATCTTACTCATTTCATTTCTGGCTAACTTGTCTAATGTCTAGCGTGTTGAAGATTGGATTGTGTGTGCCGCAGAGAGGTCTCTACTTCATCTTGTGTCCAATACAGTCTACTTCACATCATTAGTCTTCTAAATTTTTTTCTTCTATCTCTTTCTCATCTGCCTTATTTTGTGTCCT